AGAGAGGTCATAAAGTAGGGCAAAATTCACTTAATAACTTTGTCACTGTAAATCAAGGACTACCTATAATCCAAAAATATTATAGAACCCCCACTTTAGACTATGCAAGATTTAGATATTAAATACATTTCTACAGATCCAGGCATACTTTGCATGAAGAGGTCTGGCTGCTACTTTGAAGGACTACTTTGAATATAGGAATCTGTGTATCCACCGACCCTTTCTTAGCAAAGAAAAGTAGGCCATGCAGAACAATTCTTTGGCATGATTCCTTCCACTATCTGTTGGTCATAGATAGTGGAAAAAATTGAAATTAAAAATGTTGCAATATGGTCAAACCCACTAGAGGGCTCTGCAAGATTAAAAACTAGACAACTGACTTCCTATCGAAGAATCAAAGTCACAATGTCGCAATTTGCTAATAAGCATAATAATAGGATGTTTGCCTTTTCCTAGGTCAGGTTTGAAAAATTCCAGTCTTTTTCTTGTGCTTGGCTCCTTTTATGTCTTGTTGTTTTATTCCCAAGGTACATTTATGTATATTCTTTCTCCTTTAAAAATATAAAATGAAAAGGCTAGTTGTGGTGGAAAGCTTTATTGAATTGCTGTAGGTAATAAAATGAAAAAAAAATCTGTAAGAAAAATTATTTTGTTTAAACAATGAATACTTGATTTGGGAACGTCTGTTGCTGAAAAATAAAGAAGGGAGGGAAAAAAAAGAATCTATAATGTATCTGTTTTAAATACTATAGGGGACATAGTACACCCATGATAGATTTTGACAAAGTCTTCTATTTACATGCATAGGTAAACTTTCTACTGGGAGCAATTCAGTGTCTTTTATAATGTAAAATATAGCCTCTGGTATAGTTTCTCAGAACACATACTTTACATTTTGTTAGTGTAGGAATAGATTTATATATTCAAAGGAGATGGAAAAAAATTACAGATTAGATGATTAATATGTAGGTTTCAAGGGTCAGGCTTCATAATGATTAGGAAAGAATAATATTCCTTTTAGATATGTGGAGCGAACTTAAATTCTCATAGCTCAAACAGTGAATGTCAGTTTAACTCTAGCCTTTCTTTATCTGTGATCCATATATCTGAATCTTATTTTTTCCACCCTACCCAGTAGGTTAGTCCTACTTACTCCAAAATTATTTCAGGGCTGCTGCAGAACATGCAACTTTTATTTAACTGACATTTTACTCAACTTTCAAAATATAATGTGAAATATAATATAACGCAACATGGAATATAATATTGAGAACGAGTTTGGGGTAGTGGTTAAGCTGCTGGCCTAGAAACCAGGAGACTGTGAGTTCTAGTCCTGCCTCAGGCATGAAAACTGGCTGGGCGACTTTGGGCTACTCATTGCTACTCATTGTCTCAGGGGCTGCCACAAAGAAGAGGGAGTCAAGCTATTTTCCAAAGCACCTGAAGGCAGGACAAGAAGCAATGAGTGGAAACTAATCAAGGAGAGAAGCAACCTAGAACTATGGAGAAACTTCCTGACAGTGAGAACAATCAGTGGAACAACCTGCCTCTAGAAGCAGTAAATGCTCCAACACTGGAAGTTTTTAAGAAGAGACTGGACAGCCATTTGTCCGAAATGGTGTAGGGTTTCCTGCCTGAGCAGGGGGTTGGACTAAATGACCTCCAAGGTCCCTTCCAACTTTACTATTATTATTATTAACTAAATCTCTACACAGGATTGATGTTGTGGGGAAAACAGGAAGAAAAAGGAGTATAGATATTTTCACTGTCTTGCATTATTATAATAAAGGTGGGATAAAAATCTAATAAATAAATAATTTCAAGATTTTATTACCTAATTACCAAGAGCCTTGGTGGTGCAGTGGTTAAAGGGCAGTATTGAAGGCAAATTCTACCCACAGCCTGGAGTTTGATCCTGATAGGGCTCAATATTGACTCAGTTTTCCATCCTTCTGAGGTTAGTAACATGAGGCAGATTGTTGGGGACAATATGCAAATAATGCTTCTACATTATAAACCACCCAGACAGTGCTGTAAAGCACTATGGGGTGGTATGTAAACCTAAATGCTATTGCTATTGCTAATTGGAGATACTGTATATGGAAGACAATTACCTGCTAAACTGGGAAATTTTCATGTTTGGGTTGTGAGCTATTTTAAGAGAAAGATACAGGCTTACATTGATGATTTTACTAAGCAAAAGTATGGTGGCTGGTATTTTCTCAAGTAATCCACAGGTACTCAGCCCTCAGAATATACTGGAAAGTGATAGACTCATGCTAAGTATTGTTCTTCAAGCTGACTGTTGAAGTACCAAGTGAATATATACAGAATTCTCTCTTTTTTTGGAGTTGCTTCATGAGGAGGTTCCTCTCTGAATGGTTTACAAATACAATAGGCTGCTACAAACTAAATCAATATTTGTGTGTATAACTTTTGCATTTCAGAGTAAAATGTAGGTGGTCCCAGGTTCAATGTCTCCATGACACAAGGTAGGATTGGAAAAGGTCCAACTCAATATCAAGGAAAGCCATTTTTAATTGGTATTGGACATGATGCATCATTGGTCTGACTCAGTATAAGGCAGATTATGAGTTGGAAATTTATTTTATGTTTTGGTGCCTTCAAGTCAGTGATGTACCCTGGTGACTGCCTGGACACATTGCTACAGTTTTATTGGCAAGATTTCAGAAGTGGTTTGCCATTATTTCCTTTCTAGGGTGGGAAGCGAGTGATCAGCCCAAGGTCACCTAGCTGACTTTGTGTCTTAATAGTCTAACTCAATATAGGGCAGTTCTGTGTAGCACTGCTTAAAGTACCATGGTTTCTGAAGCAGTTCAAAAGCAATTTCTTGTTATTTGTGGGCTGTAGGATGAAATGTAAGAATGGCATGTCACAGAACAGTTTAGCCATTATTTACAGAACTCAAATTGCAGGTTGGTGAACCTCTGAAAATCACCTCCATTTCTGTGTTGTCCCATTCAACTAATACATTTCTCTCTCTACATTGCCTAACAGGCTAGGTGGGCAATATGGACAACTCTCTCGGAACAAGGAGTAATTTTATAGGATTTTGAGTTTGATTTCAGTTAAATACATTCTCATGAAACCTCTCTTCAAAGAAATGTAATGCAGCTATCTTTTTCTGACTGCAGTTGAACAGCTTTGTTTCACTCACACACGCAAAAGACAGTTGGAGGGCAATGCCTGTTGAAAGTAGGAGATTAGATATATCGGAGTGTGTTCTGCTAGGTAATCTGTTCTCATCAGACTGGAAATGATATCTGTCAGAACAGAATGGAACAAGCATTGGGTATCCATTAACTTTCTAGGATAGCAATTTTTAACGGTATACTCTAAAATAAATAAAAATAAATGTCCAAGGAGCTCAAAACATTGATATTTGCATTACATGGTGTTAGAAGTAAAGTCTTCATCCTGGTTCATCCAAGCCAGGAATAAATAAGCAAACATGGCGACTGCTTTGGGAAGAAGGTTACAGTTTATTGCAGAAAGATGGTTCTTCAGGAAAGTGCAGAGGAGAGAAGGGCTGAGCACATGGCGTAGTAGGTTTTTTATACCCCCTCTAGCCTTTTGTTTGGAATAGTTTCCTGTTCCTGTGGCATGAACCTTGAGGCTGTTTCTGAGTGTTTGTCTAGGCCTTGATATCTGTGGTTTAATTCTATTATCATATCCTGCTTCCCAGGTGATGGGGCTGACTCCTAGAGTTTGGGTGGGGTACGCAGATCTTCTCTTTTGTCTTCTTGATTGCTCTGGCTCCAACTTTCTGATGGTTTTACATCTGCATTTGTATGGGGCTAAAGTCTTGCTTGGGGCAGAGAGGTAGATTTGGGGCCAGGTTTGGTTTTAAAAAGTCCTTTTGAGGAAAAAAATATTTTTCTGCCCTTTTTAATATTTCTTTCTCTGGGCTAACTTCCCTCAATGGTATGGAGTTTCTCTTCTTATTTCTACATAAGATTCAAAAGCCTGTTTAGTTCTTCAAAAATACCAGGAAAAATGCTCTTTCCTTCTCTGTGAGAAACACACAGACCAGGGATCTTCAAACCTGGCCCTTTTATGATTTGTGGACTTCAATTCCCAGAATTCCTCAGCCAGGCATACAGTTGAAGTCCGGAAGTCATAAAAGGGCCAAGTTTGAAGACCCCTGACTTAGCCACACCCAGAAATGTTGTTAGTGCCATAGAACACATGGTCTATGGAAAGAGGAAAGGTGCTTGCCCCAAAGACGTTGCACTGTAATGTTATAGTCAATTCCCAAATAGATATACAGGCAAAGAGGGATGCTTTATTTTATTTTTTTTGACAATATTTTATTAAGTTTTATAAAGGTAAGGGAAAGGGAGGGTCAATATAGGTAGTGGGATTCAGGGTAGGGTTCAGGGAAAGAGTTGGGGTGGGGGTAGGTACAACAATGGGGTTGCCCCCAAAGACATTTCAAGCTTGAGCAAACAAACTATCATCCGGATACATTTGTTCATTGGGAGTGGTTAATATAATAATAAGTAGTTATAATTTATTTATTTATTTATTTTATTTCTGAGCCGAGGTGGCGCAGCAGTTAGAGTGCAGTACTGCAGGCCACTTTAGCTGACTGTGTTCAGCAGGTCAGCGGTTCAAATCTCACCGGCTCAAGGTTGACTCAGCCTTCCATCCTTCTGAGGTAGGTAAAATAAGGACCCAGATTGTTGGGGGCAATGTAAATATATACATACATTGCTTACTGGTGTACACCGCTTAGAGAGTGCTTGCACTTAAAGCGGTATATAAGTCTCATAAATAAATAAATAAATATACCGCTTTAAGTGCAAGCACTCTCTAAGCGGTGTACACCAGTAAGCAATGTATATATATATTTACATTGCCCCCAACAATCTGGGTCCTCATTTTACCTACCCCGGAAGGATGGAAGGCTGAGTCAACCTTGAGCCAGTGAGATTTGAACCGCTGACCTGCTGAACACAGTCAGCTAAAGTGGCCTGCAGTACTGCACTCTAACTGCTGCGCCACCTCAAGAAAAATAACTTTATTTTTTTTCTGTGCTGTTTGGAGAGTTTTTACAGAGATGTTATGGATACGCACACTTTCCTAATTTTTCAGACATCTTGCCTTGGCACTAAAAGTGCACAATCTGCCTTAGCAAGTATTTCTTCTAGCGTAGTCACAATCAATAATCAAGGCTATGACAGTGTAGGTCATGCTGTCATAATAAAGATAAAATGCAATATGTGTTATAAAAAAATGGATTCACTTCCTTTAGCCAAAGAAGGAATGGAATAAATGCTTTCTGTCTGCCACGGATACATTGTAAAGAATATTTTGCTCTTAATAAAATGCCAGCTGAATCTTAAATTTCCTCCTTACAAAGTTTAGCCACAAGGATGCTTCCTCGATTGAACTCTCACTTCCTGGCAAACTTTCACAGCTGACATCACTCTTTTAATTTGCATGGGCCTCTTCAGAATCAAAACAGGAAACCCAAGCGGTAGTGGAGATTGCTTTTACTTTTCTTGCCAGAGTTGTTGATGACTTCTTTTTTAATTTGAACCATAGATGGAAGAACGCTTCTGTTAAAAAAGGTTATGACTGGTGGATGCTGGGCAGAGGGCAAAAATGCTTTTTTACATCTTTGGAGCTGAAAGAGAAGGAAAAAAATGTTGCCAGGAAGGTCCTTCGGGAGAGACTTGCTACAGCAAAGTGTCTTGAGGCCCAGGCAGGCTTTGATCCTCACAACATGAACAGCCTAGTAATAGATTGAAGCTTAAGAATAATTCTATTTTGCTAATGGCAAGAAACGTTTCTTCTACTGGAATGGATGATTATTTGTTTGCACCAAACAAGAAGAACAAAGTCTAGGCTGAAAATATGCCCCTTAGCTGCTTCACATTCTTGACCAAAATAATGTTTCTATAATGGTCCAGGGGACAACAAACTTATTCAGGTTACTCTTTTTAAAAATCTTTTGAAGCACTTATTAAGGTTTTCATTTTGTTTTGCTGTTTTCTTTTTAAGGGAACTGGAGATGACTAGTATTAATGCTTCTAAAACAATGGTTTCTAACCTGTGGATGCTTGAGGCCCACAAAAATGGGGTGGCATGGGCAGCAAAATAGAACCAAACAAAAACATACAAATGATGGAATGCTCTCATTTGTTCATGTAAGTTACCCGTTTAAACAAAAGTCGCCATTGGTGCACTAACTGATATGGTGGAGCAGGGATATCAGTTAAACATCTGCATTGGCAATGACATCATCATCCTGGTGGCACAGTGGTTAAAATGCAGTATTGCAGGTTAACTCTGCCCTCTGCCAGGAGTTCGATCCAGACCAGCTCAAAGTTGACTCAGCTTTCCATCCTTCTGAGGTTGATAAAATGAGAACCCAGATTGTTGGGAGCAATATGCTGATTCTGTAAACCGCTTAGGGCTGTAAAAGCACTATGAAGTGATATATAAATCTAAGTGCTATTATACATAATGAGCAATGCATCATGAATTCCACACCATTCAGAATATCTCTTCTCTGCTTTGGTAGCTTTTTCCACCCATGATTACTTGTTTGACCCTATGGACACAACTAAAGTTCAATAATGAAACCTAATATTAATGTTGACTCAGTTAATATAAAATGCAGGGTTATTTTTTCCTTGATTATATTATGGAAACTATTATCCAATTAGATGTTCTGAGTAACCTTCAGCTTCTTTGATCTCATTGATTAATTTCCAATTGATCTCATTGGAATATATTTTTGAGGGATTATTTATAGGTATGTCAACCTTCTGACTGAGTGTTCAAATACATTCCAAATAATAAAAGCAGTTTGACCTTGGAATCAATTATCCATTTGCTGGATGTGCTCAGACAGAGGCTTGATGGTCATCCATCAAGGATTCTTTAACTTGAATTTGTTTATTGGACTTAGTGACTCTGTCCAAGTCTAGAATTCTATAGTATCTACTTATTCCTGACTGAATATTGCAAACCTTTGTGTGTATTTTGGCCATGACTGTGACTACTGATTTTTGATGTGAATAAGCAGTACACTGTAGTAGTGCATTGCTTGCTATATAGTGGGTATACTGCACCTACATCCCAAAGTGATGAGAAAGTAAAAACATGGAATGTTGAAAAAAATGATAAAAAGATAATTTTGTAAATTGTAAGGCTGTATCCAATTTTAAAGAAGCTGCTTTTATTGATACTGTTGTTGTTATTTACCACCCTAAATCATTGAACTGAAATTTACGGCATTGAGAAATGAAGACATGTCAAGCTTGACTTGATAAATCAAGTAAGATATGACAGTCTGCAGAGAGAAAAGAAAAGGAAAGAAAAACATTTTTGGCAAGGACAGGAATTCAGGGTGTTGCTTAATAAGCAGACTGAGAATGAGAAATCAGATTTAAATTACTAGGAGATGATATCAGATGTAGATAAATAAGTTTCCTCTAGTGATTATATCTCTTCTTGACTGAAATATTTAAGACAATTGATGCTCTTAAATATTCTTGGAAGTGCTTGTTACATCTGGGGAATATTCTGAACCTAGGTTGCGATGCCTCTTGGCTCAGCGGAGTGAGTCAAAGTATTGTCAGCTGTATTCCCCAATAGACAGCAATATTAATGGATGTTCTACCAGAGCAACTGATACTTCAAGATGAGATGTCATTTACTGTAGCAAGGTTAGGATTTCAGAGAGATAGCACTAATAAATGGAAGATGAAGAAGCTGCACGTTTGCAGGTAGAGCTAATGGTGACCAGTGTCAGAAGGGTTTGGCAGTGTTGACATTTCCTGTATCCTTAAATGTCATCCAAAGAATTCCCAAATTATTATTATTTTTTTTAAAATGTTAGAATATTGCAAAAGTTCCAAAATCTCATGAGAAGGTTGAAACTCACAAGCTGTCAGTGTTCTTGCACGAGTTCTCATGGGGGAAGCAAAATCTGGTGAACTTGCATAATTTTGCAAAATTTGAGACAATTTTTATTTTGGGGTGATTGATAACTTTTGCAATCCTCGAGGAGGGCTCATCTTCAGACACAGCTTTGCCTCAGCTAGTGAGAACTTGGCTCAAGTTGCCTGGCAGAAGGTGCAAATTTGGCAGAAGGTACTATTTCAGATGGCATGGCTAAGTGAGAAACTATTGTATTTCATTGTTTTGAATTGTGCATGTATTGTTCATGTTGCTTTAAGTAATTGATCGTTTTTTGTAAACATGAATTGGAGACCAGCAGAGGTTTTTTGTTTTTTTTAATTTCACTTCTTCTTCCTACCTATTTCCCATGGCTGAGTAGATATTTTTGCCATGTTTTTCTCAGCCTTGGGAATAAGGAATTGTTGGTTGTTGACATAACTGATATTTCTAACCTAGCCCTATGTAACCACTGCAGTTTAGGGACTCCGTAGTTAAAGTGTTTATTTTCTGAATTAATACAAAACACAATTCTAATTATGGTAACTTTAATGATTTTGTAACCGTGTCTCTTATTTTTCATGTTCTTTTATAACAGCCGTGTGAAGGAATATGTGTGTATGTGTGCCTTTATTGCATTTTTATGAGGGAAAGTTAAGTGATGTATCAGGTACCTTTTGTTCAGAAGGTACCAAATTAAAATTTACCATTTCCAGATGAGGGTAGAAAATGTCCTTCAAAAGCCTTGGAGAACTGCTGCCATCCAGGACAGACTGTGCTGAACGTGAAGGACTAATAGTTTCACTTGGGAAGATCATATGGTTTGAAAGCAAAAAGAAAAAACAGCAAAACATTAAGTCTATGGAGAGTCTCAGTCAGCCAGGTTATGGTTATCCCAAGGCTGTTTTTTTGAAAGGCAACTGGACTTTCTTCGTATTTTTCCTTGAAGATGTTTCACGTCTCATCCAAGAAGCTTCTTCAGAACTGAAGAAACTTCTTGGATAAGAAGTGAAATGTCTTCAAGGAAAAATACTCAAAGAAAGTCCATTTGCCTTTTGAAAAAGCACCTTTGGGACAGCAAAACATTGCATGTATGAGATGTAAGATAAGCCACGTCAGATTAACTATTTATATAATGTAATTTAATAATGTCTGCTAATAGTGTTTGGTGACAGGCATAACTGGCCTACAAATATGCATAAGCACAAAGAAAACAGCATTCAATACAGTATAACAACACAGGGTCAAAATACTTTTACAATGTATAATATACACAATAAAATATACTATGTTCCCCTCAGAGCATGCTTTGAACACACAGACACTCTTCTCTAATGCACTGCTGCTGTTGCTAAAACTCTTATGATACAAAAATATTATTTTTCCATGTTGCTGACTAAGTTTTGGTTAATAGCAGGGCCAGATAAATGATACAGAATTCCTAAAGTAAAAATGTACAACTTGAAAAAAAAAATCAAGTGCCAATTTCCTCTCAAAGCACATAAATATAAATTACCATTAAATAAATCTTTGGTCACATGTTGCATCTGAACTGGCAACTAGCAAGGATCTCTTAGATTCTTCGAATAAAATATCAGACAAACCTGGATAGTTTGTCTGATATTCCCCAAGTTTTCTTCCAAAGTATCTCTTCAGAGTTAGCCAAGAAAGAAAGACCTGAAGAGAACTAGAGCAGTGATGGCGAACCTTTTAGAGACCGAGTGCCCAAACTGCAACCCAAAACCCACTTATTTATCGCCGGATACCAGGTGGGCATGGCCCACTGGGTGGGCATGGCTGTGGTGCTCATGACAGACTGGGTGGGTGTGGCCAAGGTGGGCGTGATCACCTAGATGTTGCTCGTGGAGAGGGACACTTGTGGGGGCTGGGCAGGGTTGCGGGAAATCTGGCAGGTGGGGCAGGGGGCAGGAGGCTTCTTCTGCGGGTGAGGCAAGGCAGGGCAGGGGAGTCATTGTCGCAGGGCAAGGCAAGGCAGGGGCCGGGGTGGCTGCTGCTTGACACCATCGGCCCCTGCACACAGAGGCCAGTGAGCGCATGGGTACTGGGATGCATCCAGCCATGTGGATCTTGGTGAGTTAGCAAGTGGCTGGTTGAAGAGGGACGGTTGCCATCTCCAGGGCATGACACGCATGCCCACAGAGAGGGCTCTGAGTGCCGCCTCTGCCACGCATGCCATAGGTTCGCCACCACTGAACTAGAAGATCCAAATGCTTTCTATATCCTAACTAGAGATAGACTCTAAAGTGTAACCCTGGGATGTTACAGCTTGGGAGGCTGTCACCTGATAGGAGTCCTGCAAGTGATGGGCACAACAATATTCTTGACTGTCATCATCAACCTCTGGATCAGCATAGTTATACCAGAAACCATTAAGGTCCCTGGGGGTGGGATTAATGTTGCTTCTCCTCTTCCTATTTTTTAAAAATTCTATTCTATTCTATTCTATTCTATTCTATTCTATTCTATTCTATTCTACTCTACTCTACTCTACTCTACTCTACTCTACTCTACTCTACTCTACTCTACTCTACTCTACTCTACTCTACATCCACAATATACAATAATCTCAAGGAATCTAAGCATAACTGTTTCCTTTGTTAAAAATCTTAGGATATCTATCTATCTATCTATCTATCTATCTATCTATCTATCTATCTATCTATCTATCTATCTATCTATCCATCCATCCATCCATCCATCCATCCATCCATCTACATCATGTTCATCCATCTATCTACACATATACACCCACATATGCACATAAACACACACATACACGTATATATAAATAAGATGTATTCTGACAACACAATATTTTGCATTTCTAAATTATGTACTACATGATAAAATGATATGTATGACTGAAATAAATGCACATCGCTAAGCCTCTTATCTAAAGATTTTTAGCTGAACTACTGCCCCTCATAATTCTGCTGTCATATCAAATTATATTGTGCAGGGTGCTGAAACAACCAATTTGATAATTCTCTGCATTGTCATAATAATCAGTTAGGTATAAGATAAGAATCCTTTCTCAATATACCAGTATATACAGTTGTAACTTTTCTTAACGTCCTTTGAAATTTGTCCTGAGCAGCAGATGGCAGTAGAACAACGCACAGAAAGAAAATACATCAGGATTTAATTTATAAGTAGCATGCAACATTTAGACCTTTACCACCACCTGATTTTGTAGCACCAGAGCTTCTCTCTACCCAAAATTCAGTTGTGTGCAGTCAGGAGGTAAGACTAGTGCCTTAATTCAGTAATTATTACAAGGATGAGAAAAACAGATATTTCCGTCCTGGTAGCTAAAGACGCAGGTGGCTGAGTCATACCTTGTCTATTACAAATATGCCAGGATGAATTTCATGGGTCATATTCACGGAATGAACAGAGAGTCAAGTCTAGTAAAAATCTTAACTGGGGAAAAAAATCCATCTAGATGTAAATCAAGCTCCTGTAATTAAAAAGTATAGAAATTTTGTTTCCAGAAAAATCAAACAAACAGTAAGATCTCTTTCTGAAAAAAGGGAAAAAAATTAAACATTACAACATTACAACTGCATTGTTCAATTTTTAAAAAAGATTTGCCCTTGAGGCATTTTCTGTTTCTAATATTACTTGCAGATAGTCAAGAAAACATTGGCAAGAAAATATGATGATGCATGGCACATTTGTAATATGTAATATGGGAGATTTTTTTTACGGCCAAACATCAATGTCTTGTACTGATTTTTTCCCCCCTGGCATCAGTGCCCCTATCTCTCTGCTACAGAGTGCTGGCTCTGGAATGGTGACTAACAAAAGTTAGTCATCCATCACAATGAAAAGAAGAAGTTCACACTTTTCAAAGTGCCTGCAAATGCCATACAACAATAAAAGTGAGATTTTTCTAGTAAAGGTCTTCCCAGTTATATTTGAAACTGCTGGATTTAGTAAAGTTCTACAATCCAGATTATATTTGGGAGATAGCATAAGGATATCGATTGAATGTATTTTGTGTGGAAAAAGCAGGATATTAATTTAAAGAATAGCTGCAATAGCATAACTCAGTTCTCTGCATTTTACATGAAGGAGAGATTTCCCAGCTCTGCTTTATAAGTTTGCGTTCAAATGGAGGTAGCAGGCATTACCAGCATGATAGCCGTCATGGCACCATCAGATAGATTCCCATGGGCTCCTCTGATTAAGAAAAACACATTGAAAGTGGCAGAATGAACTAATCATATAGCTGAATCTTGCTAGTATGATATTTTATCACTTTAGGATATTGATTGATTGGGATATTGTGCTTCCACATTATGATTACGTTAGGTAGACATTTTTTATCATCAGGATGAGTTGTGTTTTCTTATGTTTGAATCTATTGTTCTTTCATTACTTGTAAATTATATATATATATATATATATATATATATATATATTAATTAGATAAAATCATTTTCTTTCAAATGGGAAAATGGTGGTAGCCATATGAGTGTCCATGATACGGTTCAAAATTCCAAATATTCCTACCAGTTCCAAGAAGACTGCCTGTACATTCCTCTGCTGACCTCCATTTTCCAAACAAGATGGCAAGATTAGAAGAATCTTGGAACATGGAACATACAGATAGTCCTCATTTAGACCATTCATTCAGTGACTGGAAAAAAAAATCCTTTGTGGCCCTTTCAGCATCTCTCAGTTATCTTCAATATGCATTGTTCTATGCCTGACCTATGCTTACAGTACTCTCTTGAATTTTTTTCTCTCTCTCTAATCTTTTTATTTTGCAAAGGGGAGGGGACAGAAAAAAAGCGAGTATTTTCTGTATGCATTCTCTCCTTTGCCTGTTCATTTCCTACTGTTTTTGAAGTGTAGAAGAGGAAACAGGTTCATGTGTTAATATTCCTTTTCTCCAATTTCTGCTGTATGGGTGAGGGGTAGGAAAGGAGAGATTTTCTATAGAAATTGATTGCTTTTGTTTTTCTCTCCCTTGCCCCCAGAACAGAGAGACTGGAGAGAAAGGGACTTTAAGAGAGTAAGCTTAGCATGCTCAAAAGTTTCAGTCCTGCGCTGTTAGCAGAATCACATTGCTTTTGATGTGTATAAGATAGTAAGCATTCTAAAGAACAAGTAAGCAGTTGAAAGTATGAAATTGAATTGTCTTTTTCCAGCCAGAATGTACATTCAGTCACATGATTTCTCACTTAGTGACCACTTTGCTTAGTGGCAGAGTTGCTGGACCCATTTAGGGACATTAAGTGAGGACTTTCTATATGAGGAATCTTGATGGATCAGATCAAATAATCTTTATTATACCCTTACATGCAGAAAACATCAGAAGATGGTACTCTTTTCCTACTGTTGGTCTTAAGGTACATTTTTGTTTATTCTATAAATAGTAGAGATTTAATGAAGCCACCACAGACATTGACAGATAGTTGTCAGTCAGGTTATCTAGGGTTATTTGAAAACTGTCAAACATGGTAGCCATGCTTGGTAGTGCATATTTCATGATGTAACTAGTTTTATTTTGTTATTTAAATGGTTTCATTTAAAAATCTGAAAGTTAAAATGTACTCACAATTAAATATAATAAGTTAAAATAATTAACAGTCAGAAAATTATACATGGAGATGTTTTATAGAAATATATTACAAAAATAAAAATTAGCAAAATAAGCTAAAACTTTAAAACTAGAATCAATAAAAATGTTAAAAATCACAGCAGATTGAATACTTTCTTAAAGTTATGCGTTATATAAAAATCAGTCCAATCCTGAATCTGTATCCATTTAA